ACAACTAACTACTGTAATGGCACATTCCTTTGCACGTTGTGTGCTTCTGGAACGTCTACCAGTAATACGAGTAGTGACAATGACATAACTCTTAACAATGTAATATGAAAAATACAAGTTGAATGCGCTTATTCTCTAAACCATAGAGTGCAGAGAATGAAGTTCTCCTCAAGTTTCCTTCTCAATGACATCTACAGCACCTGGCGCTTAGTAGTAATAATTCAATCAACTCGGTCATGAATCCGAAGGCGGAATATCACACAGTTGTAAATTTTAGTCTGCCTAATTGTGTGCCCTGATTGGTCCAATTGGTAGAGGACCCATAACCTAATTCCGAGCCACAACGGTAATACAAAGCACAACAAGAGAAACGAAAAAATTTTACGCTTATCTCCCACCAAAAAATTCCCAGGAGGAATAGCACTGCATGCATACATACACACGTGCTGCTCCAATCAAACTCGTCGAGGTTGAACATACGCTGAGTTTATGTCCCAGTGTCCACAGTGGAAAAGATTCACCAAGTTATTCTCTGAGATGAAGTCTTGGACAGTTTTCGTTACTTTTTCTGTGTTTCTGCTTCCACCTCTTCCACCTCTTCCACTCCCGCTTGAATTTCTCAACTGCGGTTTGTATGCTCTGGGCTAGCGGGAGAGATGATCCGTCTAAGATACTTCTATGATTTGGTTACCAGTAAAGCGGTGTTGATTACACGTACAAAGCGAAGATTTGTTCTACTGTTGGCAGGCGCCTTGATAATAGCGTGTGTACAGTTGCTGTATTCTCATTTCCGCTCTACAGTATTGGGCGAAAGCCGTATACGCACTGATGCACCGTTGAGAACACACTATCGCAACCCATATTTCGAGACGGAGGATGGGTTCCAAGTCATTGCTGAGCAGGAGGGCAAACATAGGTCCCTCGAAGGTGATATCCATACTATTCTGGATTACACTGAGGAGGAGTACTATCTGAATGATGAGTACCCTGAATTCATGAACAAGGAACGTTTAGACACTGAGCTGAATAAACAGTCAACGTTCAAGAAGTTTGTCTCTGAACTGTTAGAGAACATCCTCAGCTCAAAACCTAACATCGAGGCGATAAACAACTCAAACCATTACAACGCGTCCAACGTCTATCAGAAAACAGGAATGCATAAGATGCCGACACTTTTAGGGAAATTACGTGAGAATAATGGGGTTGATCCAATAAGAAGTAAAGAATACCTCAGAAGTTATATGCAGCTCAGTGAAGATGAGATGGCACAGATGAAGGCCTCACACCAAAAGATAGTGGATCTTCTTCCTGACAAGTTCCC